AAGTGCAGACTTTGGTGACACCCTTACACACTTGCACAGGGACAAGTTATGGCACCTAATCCCTCTCCATCCTCAGAGGCATCAACTCTATCCTCAAATGTTCTCTGAGAATCCACTGGATTATTCCTTAGAATCCTTGTCATCCTAGAAATTACTAAAAACATCAAATCTCAGGAACATGCTAGTATTTAAGTGTTGATAAGCTCAAATTTCAATTTATTTATTTTTATTTTATTACTTTTTTATTTTACAGTGATTTTGCCTAAAGTGCTTCTTTCTGTCCATTGTAAGAAATCAGACCGCGCATCCACAGTTTGTGTGTGTGGAGTTTAACGCCAGCTTCATTGCACAGGTATGTCCCTGGCTAACCAAATAAGGTCTCCCAAGAGGCCATTCAGGGGCATTTGCTCTTGGGTCTGGACTTGATTCGGGGAGGGGCAGAGTGAACCTGCAGTGGGCAAACTGTCGGTCAGATGTGCAATCAGCATCCTTCTCCCTCCGATAACCGCAGGCGCAGAACTCGGCTGCTCCCTGCTGCTGGGCCCCACACCTGCCCTTCTATGTGTGATGGATGGGCTCTGTGCAAAGAGGAGCCAACACAGCCAGTCTGAACTTCTCCGTGTCGTTTCTAGCTATCAATTCAAAATGACCAACAAACAAAGTCCTGGGGAGAAAGAGAAGGTGTCAGTGTGGTTTCCCAGTTCTCTGGTCTTTACGAACACCCGTGAGACCGTTATCAGGCGAACAAACAGAGATGCAGATTTATCTGCGGCTAATCAGGCAGGAGTCATGAGGTCTTCTCACTGTGTGGATAGGGAGGTTAGGAGCTATTGATTGGGGGAGATATTTTTGAATGAATTGGGACTGCTGAGCTCTGAGGGAGACTTCTGACAGCTTCTAAGAGTGATCCCAGGGAACGAGAGTCTTGGGTGTAACCACCTCCAAGACAGCCGGAAGTAATATTAAGAAAGCAATGTCCCCTCTCCCAACCTAGGGAGACCTGTGATGTGCTTCTCCCCTGGGATAACACGTCCTCGGGTCTGCCTGAGGGACGCCCTTCTTTGGGAGAGGACACATGGTCACACATAGGCCATCCCAAGATGACGCCAGCCTCACTGTGAAGTGGAAGCAAGTGCTAACTTCTCGTGTACCATTTCTGCCTCTGTGGGCCCTTCACCTCAGGGAATTCCTTACTGGAGACGGTATGTCCTCCTCACTTGAAGTTCAGAGCTTCTGACCTAAGATTGAACCTCTTCTGGCCAAACCAAATCCCTCTCCATTATCTCACAAATTTGGCCTGAGAAAGGGAACAGGCCCAGGATCCTTCCCTGCCAAAGTCAAGATCAGAGAGTCTGCTGCTGTCAGTTCCCAGAAACCACAGAGCAGGACTCAGACCTAGAGAAATGTATAGTTCACATGTCCAGAGACCACAGCCTCCTAAACCTCCAAATGACACATAAAAGCATGACCATAGTCTGTGCCGGGAGGAGCAGGGAGTCAGAAATGCCAACAGGGGTAAGAAGAGAACAGCACACAGTAGTGTGCCAGCCAGAGGGTGCCCAAGCTAGCATCACAGGAAAATTCTGCTTGTTTTCAAACCTTTGCTTCGCATACACCCCTGCCCAAAGGTAGCAGAAAGCTTAAATACATTTTAAAATGTACTTCCCTATGTCACAATATAGACAGAAGTGTAGCATGATGGCCGGCTTGTTGGGGTTTCTGTCCTGCCCGGTACCCCACAACCAGCAATTCCCAAAGAAAATAACAGAGTCTACATTAGGTTATAAACTGATTGACCCATTAGCTCAGTCTTCTTATTAACTAATTCTTACATCTTACAGTAACCCATAATTCTTGTCTATGTTAACCATGTGGCTTGGTACCTTTTTCAGTTGTCAGCTCACATAGTGCTGCTTCGGTGATCTGCACAGAAATCGCGGAGGGAACTTCTGCCTCCAGAATACTCCCTGTCTCTTTGCTCCACCCCTACTTCCTGTCTGGCTTTCCGGCCTATACTGCCTGCCTGGCCAATCAGCGTTTTATTAAAATACATGATTGACAGAATACAGACAATTCTCCCACACCATATCCCTCTTTTTTTAAAAAAAAAAAACAAAACAAAGGAAAATACCCATAGTCCATTTGTTGGGAATGTGGGTGTAGTATTTCAGGCTACTTCCTGCTGGTTAGGGGCGCTGATGATCTTATGGGGACCTAAAGAAAATTTAGAGTTATGATCAAGTTCTGACTGGAGTATCCTGTGAGTCTCGATCATCTCAGGCAGCAGTCTTGAATCTGTTCTGGATGTAGAACTCAGACATCTGGGCCATCTGTTCCTGCTGGAGATTTCTCAGGTGGCCTCCGTGATCAAAGCTGATTTTTCTTAAATCAGAATGAATCTACAGCCTCTCATTTTCTGTGGAAACAAAAGCAAAATCTCTTCTCCAAAGTAACATACCTTTTGACTTCAATTTTGAAGCCAAGGTATTTTCAAAATATCTATCTTGGATTAATTCAGCAACATTTATAAGCAAATGTCCTTTAGCAGCTGTTGCTCCTTTCTCAGCATTCAAACAATTCAAAGAGAGCATAATAGCATACAGTATCAAGATTCTCTGTGTATTTTCCATCTTTATTTTAACCTCTATTTCTTTTATTTTTACTTTTACTTTTTGAGACAGGTTCTCTGTATATCGTTGTCCTGGAATAACTCTGTAGACCAGGCTGTCCTTGAACTCACAGAGATCCTTCTGTCTCTGCCTCCCAGGCATTGGATTTAAAGGTATGTGCTACCACACCTTGAAGTCACAGAGGTCAATGTACCTCTGTCCCTTGAAGTCACAGAGGTCAATATGCCTCTGCCTCCCAGGCATTGGGATTAAAGGTGTGTACCACCACACCCAACTACTCCCTTTTTTTCTTTTTTACTTCTAAGAACTTTAACTTTTAGCCTGCATATATTTTCAATGTAAATATGTTTATGAAAATACTATTTTCACATAGTAAACCATTTAGAGGTTTTCCTCATCTTTGAATCTCTCTTTACTGTATATCTCTCTTTTTCTGACTACATGAGTTGTTAAAGAGAATATTAGAGCCATGGCTTTGATAGCTGAATCCAGCCCATTCCTTAGCTTTCCAACCTCATGGTGGAGGTACCGTTGGAGCCATTTTTCTTGCTACAACTCTGTGGTGCTTCAAGGTCCCTGCCAGCAAGCAAGCTATAGCATTCTACTCACAGACCACACTCAGTTGGACTGCCTGCCTGAAAGAGTCAGAGATTGCTCTGGCAGTATGGCCCAGAAAGCAGCATTTTAAAACAGCACAGCTTTTTTCCTGCTATGCTGAAAACCGAAAAGCATGCATTCAGCTTTTCATCAACACCGTTTAAGTGTTTCGTGGCAGGACCTTTTAAAGGAGCTGCAGGGTTTTGCAGCTAAAGCTGAGTCAGGAAGCTTCTCTTAGATGAGAGCGCTTGCTTGCCTCTAGCAAGCAGAGCAGACCCGAGAAATTACTGCCACCAAGAAAACATGCTTTACTCTATTCTTTCCCAAACTTTCTCAAGCTTTCTGTGGGTTCAGTTATCCACGTGGGCGCCATATGTAACATGAAGGGCCGACTTGTTGGGGTTTCTCCCAGTCTCTTTGCTCGACCCCTACTTGCTGTCTGGCTTTCCCGCCTATACTGCCTGCCTGGCCAATCAGCGTTTTATTAAAATGCATGATTGACAGAATACAGACAATTCTCCCACACCACAGAAGGCTCTGGAAGCTCCCTAGATTGTAAATCAATAATTGTACATTATCACTTGTATAATTACATTGATGGTTTTGAATAGGGATATCTTGTATTTGGAAGAAATGTCTCTTAATTCTCAAGCCAGAGGAATTGAAACCCAACAAGGCATTAGCACTCTTGTTCCCTTGATTAATTGTGTGTTTGTTTTGCCAGAATTCAGCAATATCAAATTCCAATACAAACATAGATACCTCTTTTTACTAATTTCAGTACAGATAATATCCTTATTATTTATGTTTTATAGATATGAAAAGTGATAGATTTGGATGTTGATTGGCATATGGTGGCCAGGACAGAATCATTCGTCTGGCATCCAGGTCTGGGCTGTTCAGAGGTGCAGAGGACAAAGCCATTCCGTGTTGCTGAGGGTGGCACAAGTGTACTTCCCACGGATCATCCGTTGGCCTGGGTCTCACCAGCTCGCCTAGGCAGGCACCGAGCCCTAGGGACCCTTCTGTCCCTATCTCCCCATGCTGGGGTTACAAGTGTGCTCTATCTACCATGGTTTTCCACATGAGTCCTTCAGATAGAGTTCAGGTCCTTCATTCTTCACTCATTGCTATCACCCCAGCCCCCTTTATAGCCCACCAATGGCTTCTCACATACCAAACTTTCAGGCCTTTATTTGATGATCCAGGAGTCTAAGCTCCGAAGACTCCTGGCCTCTTTCAAGTTCTGTGCATATCAAAGCTGACATCCTCGTGGAACAGCTGGGAGGTTGGCTCCGTTACCTAAGCCCATTTTTGAGCCTTTCTCTCATGTTCTGTATTAATGTCAACAGCCATCAGTTTCAAAATTTGGAGTGGAACCTATTCCACATCAGCAATAACAAGTAGCCAGAGCGTAGGTGGAATCTCTCTGTCCAGAACAGCGCACTGCGAGGCCCTCAGAGCGCAGTGGGAACGGTTCTTGTTAGGCACATGTGTGGTAGCCCACAACGGCTGCTTTTAATAATACGTGAGTCCTTGGCTTCATATGTTTGCAGAAATGTTAGTGTCAGAGCTACTAAAATGAATGATTCTGTCCTCCAGTTCGGTAAAAGAAAAACAACATCAGAAAACACAACTTTCTTCACGACACCCATCTCGGTTTATCTGACCCCTGTGCACAGCCCTCCAAGATTTCGCTTTGGGTTCTCATTTGGGGCCAGAGATGGGTGACAGTGGACCAGATCTGTTTGGGAGAATGCTGGGGATAGCCCGTGCAGGTGAGGGTGACTCGTCAGGACTATTCTCCGCCCTGCGTCTTCTCTGACACCAGCCGCTTTGGGTGGAGATTTGGAGCTGATTCCCATGAATCGTCCCTGAATGCAGGCGTCACACAAGAGAAACTCGTGTATGGAATGGTGAGGGGCAGCTAAGGAGTCTGCTCACTCAGGTGGTGCGGCAGACACAGGTCAAGGCAGCCTGCTGCGTCTGGAGGAAAGGGAGAGCCGTGAAGACAAGAAAAGGTGGAACTGAGAGTAAGTGCTCCTCCAGCACAGTGCCGAGAGTTTCAGACATGCTCGGATATTTCTTCTCATGGCCTCTAGGAGACTTCAGCAAGCCTAGGTCACAGACTTAGGGGCACTAACTGCACTTCCAACAGCTGGGTCCTGAAGGCTTGGTGCATGCAGGGCCATGTGTCTGCCCCTCTCGTTGGCTTCCCCTCTGAGCCCCAAGAATGCTCCTACAACAAGAGTCCCCATGTCTGAGAATTTCAAGACAGGGCTAAAGGGAAAGCACCATGATTTTCCCCTCAGTGAGCAAACCGTTTACAAAATAAGCCAAGTTACCCCTGTTGTCACCAACAGGGCACATCACAGCCCACCCTTGCTGACAGACAGAAACCAGACAGAAACTTCTCGGTGCAATGAAAATGGGAATACCATTTTCTTTAAGGAAGGAAGGAAGGAAGGAAGGAAGGAAGGAAGGAAGGAAGGAAGGAAGGAAGGAAGGATGAATCAAGGAATAGTTATTGATTGTGGGAGGGGCAAACTCTCTGACTCTAGTGGCCTCAGAGGTGACCATTGTCGTTAAGGGAGGCTCCAGGGGTCCACGGACTGAAGACCCAAGAGGAAGCAGCATCTGGAGCCTGTAAGGTCACCTGGAGATGCTGGAGATACACAAGTGTCCTGGGTGCAAGGCGTGACTGGGCTACATGGCAGAGGACAAGGAAGGAAAGGAGCCCTCCTCTCCCATATGAGGGTTTCTGAACCCACGCCCCTGCCAATGAAAAGTCTAAGATTAGTAAAAGGAAGGCAAGAAAATAAATAAGATTTGAGTGTTAAAAGGTTTTACTTAACATGTTCTCATGAGGGCTGAGTCATCAAAAATCCTAGTTTAGAAATGATAGGGCAATAAAAAAAAAGAAGGAGGTAGAAGGGAAGGGAAAGTGCCTGAGCCCCAGCATCGCAGCTGGCACTGAGCTCACTGGAACTCTCGCAGCTCAGGGTTCAGGGCCCTGACTGCTCCTTGGGAGGCAGACGGCTAGGGAAAGTGGTGATGGTGGAACATTTTCTGAAATAGAGATGTACAAAAGCAAAGATTGAAGAAGGACCAGAAATCTGAGTAGGTTAAATGTCAACAAAATCGGCAGAGTCACATCAAATAAGATGAAATCCAAGGACCAAGAGGACCCTGGTGGCTGCCAGAAGGCTGGGCACAATCAGGAGAAAGTGGGAAGCCAAGCCGGGTTCTGAGAAGTACTCGCCACACAGAGGATCATAACGAGGAGAGAAAATACCCGAACCAGCAGTGTGCAGCTTCTCTTACACACAAAAATTCAGAACATTTTTTTGAACAAAATAGCATGAAATGTATGAAAAGGGTCACTCAGCATGCTCTTGGGGTGTGCATATGAGGCCTGCTGTGTGCAAAGGAGCCGTGTTCCCTCTGTGTGTGCACAGGCCGTGTCTCATTCCCATGATGCTGACTTTATTTCCCTAAGACCCTCCATGGGACTCGGCACTAGATGTCCCAA